GAGATGAGCCCCCTCATTGTTGCCGTCTCATCTCAACCTCGGCTAAGTAGTGAGTCCGCAATACTCGATCATCTTAACGGCTTTTTTCATGAAATGAATTCAAGGATGAGAAAAATGAACAAAGCCTTGAAGAGGAACGAGGAGCAGGATGGCGGGTGAGACGGAATGCAAATGCTTTGGTGATCAAGGGCGTCTCTCGTCAAGGGAAGGCCAAAAAACAGATATTATGCACCTCTGCTTCTCATTTATCTCCAACTTGATCTGGCGTTTATTTTATAGCTCTACTTTATTTCATCTCCCCCTTCATAACTCTTTTCGTGTCCCCCGCCCCCCAGTTTTAAGGTGTTAAAGTTAAAAAACGGTATCGCATAAAAGACGGACGCGGGAGAGAAGTTCCATAAGTGGCCCGTAACGCCTAGTTAGCAATGAAAATGATCTCTGCAAAATGTGCTAAAGCTAGCTCTCCTCCTTTTACTGTCATATATACCTTTTAAGATGCATTCACCTGAAGAGTTCGGAGTCTGTTTTCGACTGTCAGACAAAAGACAAAAAAAAAAAAAATGGAAGTGTCTAAATCTAACAGTTTTAAAAGAAACATAAGGGCTTCATTTAGCATAACAGCGTTACCACTACCCTTCTTGAGCATCTTTCTGCCTTACAAAGCTGCATTAGTTTCTGTTGTTGCGCGACCAACAGCTGTCCTTGGCCAAGGTTGGTAGTTTATTCTAATAAAGGAAGCCCTTCCTTCCTCTAAGGAGAAAAGAAGCCCTGTAGCAGTTTCAGCTGCAGCCTTCTCTGTAATTATTTACACAAATCCAATGCTTCAAATTACCCTATTGATTTGATTTTTTTTTTTTTTTACAATTTTGTACCACTTAGTGTTAGCCTATCACATAAAAAAAACATTCACGTCTATTGTTATGTGACAGAATGTGAGTATGAGTGGTATAAAAGCTTTTGCAAGGCACTGTAAGAGGTGAGCTGACTGTAAATCCTTCCTGCGCTGTAAACCACTGCTGCTGTCCTCTTGCTCAAGTTTGCTTCCGCAGCTACATTGTGGAAGCTTAACATTTAGGCCTTGTGGGCACTAGAAGCTGAAATCTATTTTGGTGTTTGCCTGTATGTGCTTTCCTCTTTTTATGTACTCCAGAGCAGGGCTAGACAGTAACACGCATTTACTCTCGAAGGTGTTTGACCTATTTTGCCTGGGACCAAAAAATATATATATATATCTCTGAGATCTCCTGCTGCACTACCTTACCTTGAGTCTTCTCCCTTTGCTTAGGAATGTGCATTTCTCCTGCCGTGCATTGACCAGTAAATGCATCAATAATAATTTCATTCCGCCGAGTCGTAAGACGTTCAAAACTCCACCTTGAAGGACCCTGTGAAAAGCCGCATGCGGTTAGTGTAGAAAACAAATCCTGTTTGACATATTTGATCCAATTTGTGCAGAAATGTGTTGTTTAGTGGTGCCTGCTGTCCATTTGTGCTAGCGCTTTATCAGTATGTACTTCATGCACTCTTTCAAATGGCCCGTTGAGGCATTTGGTCTTGATTAAAGAGCTGTTTATTCTACACACAATCCCTTTCCTCTTCTGTGTGTCTGCAATATTTCAGAAGAACAGTCTTGGCTGTTGGGAGCCTGCATTTGTTTTCCCCTTTACCTGCATCTCAGAGCAGCAGCTTCACCGGGTCCCTTGATGTCCACTTTAAAAAAAAAGAAATTTGAGCATGACAGCAACAGTGGTTGGTCTGGCTTTTGTGCGCTCTCTTTGTTTTCCGCGCCTCTTTGATTCAGCCCTGGAAGAGGAGAAACGGACCTATATTAAGTGTCTGTTTTTCCTCTATCTCCTCCCTGCATTCTTCGCCAACTTCACTCGCTGCGGCCCTTCTCTTATGTCGTTCATCCATAACCCGTTGCCGCTTTCTCTCCCTCCTTGCAGGCAGTACTATGAGATGCTGTACAACACTCCAGATGAGTTACTGAACCTGGTTGTGGACCAGGGCGTTCGCTACACAGAGCTCGAGTACATCAACGCCCTCTCTCTGCTCCACCGCAGTCAGACGGGCGTAGGGGACATGAGCACCCAGAACGTCCGTCTGCAGAGGCTGAAGGAGATCATCTGCGAGCAGGCTGCCATCAAGCAGGCCACCAAGGACAAAAAGATCACCACAGTGTAGCAAGAAAACAGAGGGGATTACGTTGCCTAGCATTTTGTGTTTTGTTACTGATTCATGAGATCTCTTAGAGAGTAAAGATTGCTTTAGACATGAGATTGTATGAATTTATTTTGAGGTGCGTCCTTTGTGTTTTCTTGCCTGATGTGACGATAAGGGTCGTAAGTCGAGAGCCGACACAGACGTACATTATTCCACCTCTTGAAATGGAGATCATCGATAAGCGTACGCTGCACTGACTCGCTCTAATTGGAAAGTTAGATGACGGCCGCCACTGCAAACTTTGTAAGTCTACTTTCTATATCAGGCATCTTCCATTGTCAGTTTACGCTTTTTAAAAGACACCATAAATCCTCGCTGCATGCCGAACCTCCTAACAAACCCCCGGCTCTCCAAAAACAACAGCTCCGGTTTAAACGACACCATCTTGGACAGTCACCTGAACTCGGGGCCCTATCTCATCTCATTTTCCTATTAGAACCCAAGCTGCTGCTCTCCATTACACCTCCATCTCTCCTCTCCTGCCAGCCCCTATGGACTCACTGATTCTGTTTGCAATAACAGATGCCAGATTAGACTGTCTGAATGAGGCCACATCCTCCGCCTGTTGCCAATTTAGTTTGGTCCCCAAAGAGTTCCTGAGCTTCCCTAGAACTGTATCATATCTGCAGTTGTCAAAAAATCTGAGTCCTGGTCTGCTTTTTTTTTTTCTTTCCAAAGTTTCTGAAGTTGCATTGTGCAAAGTGTAGGAGAGTAAATCACAACTTCTTTTTTTTTTCCAATTATATTTTTCAGGTCTAATATGCTGCATTCCTTTTTCACATTTTGTAATGTTACAACCACATATTTCGTTTATTTTATTGGGGATTTTTGCTCCTAGTTTCTTGAAAAACACCTCAAGCTCAGTTGAATTCTGTGGTTAAATTGGGTGACCGTCTGTTTTAAGAATGTTCAGGGTTGTTGTGCCGCTGGAAGGTGAACCCTCACCCCAGTCTCAAGTCTTCTTCATCCATCTTCCCATCGATGCTGACTGAATTCCTCCCTCTGCTGTGGAAAACGGCTCCACCAGTTACATGAAATCATAGTAAAATACAATAAAGCATGTAGTCAAAACTGTGAAAATCATAGAAATGGGCATAAGTACTTTTTAAAATATTCCTACAGCAGTCGTTACGGTAACTAAAATCATATCATCCTGTTTAAATCCCTAAAAGTAAACCAAACACCATGAAAACAAGAGAAGATCTCAAGTCGCGTCCCTCCCTGTTTTCCGCTCATTAACTTTGCAGAGAAGTATTTAACGAGTGGAGGAGAGAGAAATGGGAGCCTTGTCAATACGGCGGTCCCACCACAGGTCTCCTTGAAGCCCACAGAGCAATCCATCATAGTGACACACAGCCTGGAATCGATGGGGAAGCAACGATGGAGCTGCTGAGTGGCTCGCCTACTCCTCTGTAATGCACACTTGGTGCAAAATCCTAGATGTTGCTCATTCATTTGTTCGCTTCAGAAATGGTTCTGAAAGGTTACACATGTGGAAACTTTAGTACAATATTCTCCAACTGTGTCGTGCCTCTCGCGCATGCTGTTAGACGTCCATCGCACTGCAAGGCTGATCTTTTTGTCACGCATAGTTTGTTTTTGGGGGTGTTTTTTACACTAAGTTGTGCATCACGTTTTTCTTTTCAGTGCACACTATTTTTGCACATATGTTGAATCTCCACTGTATCACGCTTGTTTTGAGCTTGTTTCAGTCTTTTGTTTTTGTTCCTTATATATAATCTCAAATCTGTCTGCTTAAAATTAACCTCATGCAATTTGTCAGTGCGTATGATAATAAAGATCTTTAAAAAAAAAAAATTTCTGGAGTTCTTCCATTCTTTGTTGCATTTCAAACATTTTCCTTGCATTGTATTTTCTGCATAAGTACCATCTTTCACATGTGACAGTCTATCCACTCGAAGCAATGGAGATGTTTTTGTTCTCAATCTGGAGCTTGTCTGATCCTAAACCAACACCAGAGGATGCACTAAACCTGACAGGTGTGCTATGTCACACGACTTTAAGGGGTGAAGAGCTTAACAGTGGCATATCAGGGAAAAATAAACACAGACAGCGAACAACCTGAGGCCTCAGTTGTTGTTATTGGCATTATTCCACGTGGTAAAATGTTCTTGGCATAGTATGGTATTTATAAACCCTGAATGTCCCTGGAGCTCTGGTGATTAATGTCATCAAGTTCAGGTGCAAAATCAAAATGTAAGGAGGTAATTCAACAACTATATTTGGATCGTTAATTTACCCAAGATTTTAAGATCTCTGGTTTTTCTTTAGCATTGTAAATACATCTAATATTTATATATTTAAATGCCATAGAGTCCAAAGTTCATTAACGTGGAAATTTGACTGTGAATATGCTTTGATCAGAACTATGACCTTGTAGCTTTGTGGTTGGTGTATGCAGGAAGGTGAGTATTTTGCAGCCTCCATAAAGATATGTTCCATAACTTTACTGTATTTAGCCTGCGTGAACGACCACTTGCAATTTTTCAGAAGATAATGCATCATATTTTTTCCCCCATATTGCAGTTTTATCCTGTTTTGGTCCATCTCTGTAAAAACTTAAATGAAGTCCATAAAAGTGTTGACTTCAGCTCACCTATTTAACAGAAATATGTTAAATAGGGTTAAATGCACCTATTTATTTCTCTCCTGGTATTACTTTTAAGGCAATTGTTATTTTTACCTTGTTCTTCGTTTTACTTCAGTCTCTAAAACGTGGCTGTCAAAAGAACTACAATCCCCAAAATGCACTTCATCTGGTGCTCGGTTGCCATGGTAGTCAACTGACACAACTTTGCCTGGCTTGGGATAGGCTAACCTTGGAAAGCAAATAATTAGCTGTTTATTGGACGCGTACATTGGCCACTTAGTTTCCCTCTAAAAGCTAACTTTCAAAGATACGTCAGGTACGTTTATTTGTGTTATAACAATGGAGGACGAATTACAGGAGCAGCAACTAATGTCGATTCCAGAGGAAAGCGCGGAGCCATCGGACCAACCAGAGACGTTAAAAACCGAGGAGCAAGAGGAAATCATCGAAGTCGAGGTAAAAACGTAAACGCTTTATTTTGGCTTGAATAAATCTAAACGGAACGTTTTCTTAAGACTCCTGCACATAGTTTTCTTTTACGGCAAAATCCTCAACTAAAAAAAATAGTCACTGATGGCATTGAAAAAAAGCAGATAACCTTGAGTTGAAGGAGACTAAAGTGAATAGCAACGTCTAAAGGTTGATTATTTTTCAAATCATCAAAAGTGCATTAACGGCTACAGACTCAAGTCTCTTTTTAAGCAGAATTTTAAATATTAAGATGAGTATTTTCCATTTTTGAAATAAGTGTTGACCTCACAGAAGTCAGCGGCCTTAAAATATTTGTTCCCAAATATTTTAAAATGTACCTTAATAGAAAACTGTGACTTTCGTACATAATATACAGTTACCAGATTCAGATGCAACGTCATTTTTCATTCAAGCAAGATGTTTGGTTCCAGTTGATAAAGAAACTGGCTTCTCCTAAAGTATAGGGTGGGTATTATTTCTGGAAGAAAACAATACAGTTTTCAAAAAGGGTTATAATTATTTCCACTTTGTTTATCTTAAACAATTGCTAAAAATCTAAATCTGTCTCATGGACTACTAGTCCTCTAAGAAAATGCTTTTTGATGTTACAATAGGAGGGGGTTTTAACTGAAGAAATGGTGTCTGAAGGTTTATCCCATCTTGGACTTGATCTGACCGGGCAGCATCACGTTCTATGCCACCTATCCCTACCGGTGAGATGTGTACCTACAACCTAGACATTGATTGATGGATTGAAGCCTGATTAAATTTATTCATAAGTCTGTTCTTTTCCGCTCCAGAATCTCAGTCTTATCAACATACATTTGTTATGCAAGTACGCCCATCTTGTAAAGCTGGAACTGCAACACAACAACATAGAAGGTAATCCATTTTTCGTTTACTTTCACACATGATTTTGTGCAATACGGCAAACGCGCAAATCGTAAGCCAGCCTTTCCTGCGGAATGATGTATTGACAAATGATGACTAAATGATTTATTCTAATTTGAATACATTTTATCACAACTTCTAGATATATCCTGCCTGAACCACATACCCCACCTTATCTACTTGGACGTGTCTCACAATGAAATCTCCAACTTCTTTCAATTCCAGCCACTCCGGTACCTACAGGTGCAGGACCTTGAACTGACAGGATAAGACAACATTTGATTGGTGGCTTGGGCCTCGTTTTCTAGCACTATTCCCTTAAGATAGGCCTGGATTACCATAGCCCATCTGTAGTCGCTCTGAATTTGCTTACAAGGCACTAACTGCCCTTCAGTGACAGTGAACTTTTGCAAAGAATCTTGTTCAAAAAGAGGTTGTACATTGCAAGTTTTGGTAGTTGTTTGTTAAACGTTTACTGCTTCCTTCTGATTTCCAGGTGGCTGATTTCTCCCACAACCGAATACCAGACATTAAGGATCTGGCAGGCTTTTGCTGCCTGCGTAAGCTGAATCTGGACTGTATCCTTGCAGTCGCTCACTTTAATGGATGTGGATGTCATCGCGTCGCCTCCTGATGCTTTAACAAGCTCCTACGGTCTGAAGTTTCCATTCGCTAAAATCCTCATTAAGCTATAAATTATACTTTACTTATCTATTTTGATGCTTTCGGAGTGTACTGAATAGTACAAAATGTAACTTCAGCGGCTTGTAAAAGCAAGAATTTGATGTGGATCTTGTCTGGATTGAAGAAGGAACATCTCCAAATCTGATTTATGCAGTTCTTGTTTACCTAAAAGGATTTTTTTTTCTTAATCATTTGCTCAGACAACTGTCTCTCTGAAGTCAGCGATCTTAAAGATTGTTCTATGCTCACCCATCTCAGCCTGGCTTACAACAAAATCACAAAAATCAGCAACCTAGGCAATCTGCCTCTCATAGATCTCTGCCTGGTAAGTTTTTATTGTTTTTGCGGCATTCAAGAATTTCGATTTTTACATATTGCAAATAATTATTTTAAATGAAATCTATTTTTTTTAACCTATTGTTGAATATGTTTCTGAACTTTATTTTTCTTTGAAACAAGCTCAGTTTCATATTTTTCTGTCCTCCTTTGCTGTTCTTTAATCTGTGCTCTTAGGTTTTTGCCACATTTTAACATTTAACAAACATCACCATATGGCCCGACAGCATGCCTTTTTCCCCCTGTTCTTCGTCGTTCTGTGTGTGTGTGTGTGTGTGTGCGTGCATTTTCTAGGCCCCTCCGTGTTTTTCTCATTGTCAGCATCTATTGGTCTGGCTGCATCTGCCCCTCTCTGGAGCTCCCTTTGGGGACCAGCTGCTGGTCTTTGACCGAACCTGGACCGAATTCAGCCTGCACACATTCCCCTATCCATCCAGCATCCATCTCAACCTGCTCCTGACCCCTCTGCTTCCCCAATGCGCCCTCCTAAAGCAGCATGGCATTGTCAGCCAGTCTGTTTCCCTTGCACATCACAGTGCCGACCCAGAGCTTCCAGGGACCGGCACGGTCACCCTCCCCTGCTGACAGCAACCCTCTGTCTGGCAGGATGCTTGGCAAGAGCAGGCCAAGGTGTGGCCATGCAGTTGGATAACAACTTTTGTCAGTAGAATAGATAGAGAATCAGGCTGACAAGACTGTTGTGCCCAGGTCTTGTTCTTTGGTTCGTCAGCGTGCTGTGCTAGCCCCTCAACAGCTGCTTAGCTGTCAGTCCAGGCCTGTCAGCATTTAGCAGAGAGCCAGGCCTGCCACTCAGCTCAGTAACGAGGGTAACAAAGCTCAGGCGCTGTGTAGATCATTCCTAATAGAATTACTAAGAATGAAAGTATGAAAAAGGACTTTGCTGCGCACACGTTATCATTAATGTTTTCCTGTTTCCTGTTTGTTTTAAGAGGGGAAACCAGCTCCACTGCACTGAAGGGTTGGAGAAGTTACAGAACATACAGGTTCTTGATTTGTCAAGAAACTGCATCACCTCTATTTCAGGAATTCAGAATCTCCGCTTGCTGTACTTAATCGACTTGGAGAAAAACCAGGTACCTTCGGCAACAAGACAGAACGATCTCCATCGTCTTTTGTAGATGTATATATTGTGCACCTGCCTTCTTACTTGCAACCCTAGGCTCAAAATCAATAATTGTGTGATTATATTATGAAATAAGATTGAGCTCAATAAACAGAACACAAAAAAATAAAACAGTCAAAATTATAGAGTTAAAAAGTAAGGAACTTTTCATTTCCCAAATTTTGCCTTATTGTATCCAGTACATGCAGTATAAAATAGTAATGTAGTTCACATATTGATGTGTAAAGCTTGCATCAAAAGTAATTATAGGTAACATTTATTTTTCACGTTTTAAGAACCGAGGCAAATGAAAAAAAATGTTTCCTTTCGTCGTTGTGTTTTTTTTTCTTCAGATTATGGAAATTGAAGATCTAAAATATGTCATTGAGCTTCCGATGCTGACAAACCTCAATCTGCTGGATAACCCTGTGCAGGTAACTGACATATTCATATGCAAGAGTCTTCACCCATGAGAATGTAAAATACAGTTGGCGTCAAAATGATGAGCCCCTGATGCTAATATTCAATTGCCTGTCCACTTAACTGGATAATTAGGTCTTTGACCCATCTCTTTCAAGCTCGAGAAAGCTTCTTCAAGCGTCTCCATTTTGCAAATACTGTGATAACTTTGAATATCTTTCTCCAGCCTTGTGAGCGTTGATTCTTTTTCCCAAGCCTAAACTGAATTTGTTTGTTTTTGGCATGATGTTTTCTCAAGTGGGAGCTTCAAACGCTTGGTGAGGATTTTATACTGCGCATAAAGTGTAGGGTAACCTTGACTGATTGAATGATTTCAGCTGTGGGCATTACAACGTGAAACTACATGATTTCACAACAGTGGTTTGTGTTTCAAGGGGGGCTAATAATTTTGGAAGTTTTTTTTTTTTTTTTTTTTGTGAAAGAATTTTGTTTCTGTGCGGAAAGTAAATTAATGTAAGCAAATCCAAAATAAAACCTAGATTGTTTGGAAAAGCTGTATTGAAAAATCAACGTGCTGTTTCCCAAAAGCGCTCGGGGGAATTTTTTTTTTGAAAAACACATTTTCAAACGGGAAGCTAATAATTTTGACCTCACGTGTATACTTTAATATAAGCAATATTGATAAAGCTTTTGTAGGAACCTTCACATTTATTTATTTTGTTTTCAAGTTTTAAGAGTATGACCATAACGTTGCAGGAAAAAAAAAAAGTTTTTTATTAATTGAATGAGTTTGTTGGATCTTTTGTAATGTGCAAAGTATTTGTAATTATTAGGAGCACCATAACTACAGACTGACAGTCATCTTTCTCCACCAAGGCTTATCGGTGCTAGACAATAAGAAAGTCACTGTTGAAGAAAAGGTGAGAATCTACGTCATTAATGTCGCTTTTTATGTAAATTGTGTATGTAGGATATTTAATGTGTCTGAGTACAAACCACAAATTCTAGGTGTCTTCAAAAAACATGTTTGAGCCTCCTATGGACATAGTAGCAGCAAAAGATCACATCATGAACATGGTTCACCAGATGGCACAGCCGCAGGTTCTCTATCAAAGGTTTGAATGAGTATTTCGGTATTTTTTTTTTTTTTGTTAGATTTTTGCCTGTTATTTCACCTGTTAATTTTAAAATGTTTGCCAAATGAGCTAGCTTTATGATTTAGATTCTAAAAGTACAAATACGCTGCATAATTTACTGTTCGTTTTACCCTGACCATCCTGTCGTCACATCTAAAATAACTTCCACAGATAGTTGTCAGATATACAGAACCCATTTTTTCTAGATGTCTCATCCGCTTTGCTTGTGCCAGCATTTATGTTGTGGTATTTTACGTATGTTCCTCGGAAAGGGGAGCGCGTGTTAAATTATGCATGTAAGATGAAAGTCAATGAAGAAAGTGTGTGTTTTTGTCTGATTGCGTGCAGCACAATGCCCACTCCAAACACCCCATACCCAATGCTGGTGCTGACGGGCCCTGAAGGCTGTAGGAAAGGAGACTTGGTTCGCAGACTGTGTCGGGAGTTCGGTGAACACTTTGGTGTTGGGTCAGTCTGACAGAGCTGTTAATAATATGTGTATTCTTCTTGTTTATCGTATGTGTTGATCTGAAACTCAGCATATGGCCCCGAGTTCTCAAAACAATAATCAGAAAACCTTACTCCAATGTAATTGGGAATGCATTTTAGCTTGTGGGTCGCAATATCCTTTTTGTAAAAGAATGTACTCATCAACTCGTCTGCTTTTAAAACGTGTATGGGATCTGAAGCGTAGATGGATTGTATCTGAAATGTAAACATGACAGATGCATGTGAATTTGCTTCAGAGGACTAACTAACTGTTCATATTTCACAGCATCTGTCACACCACGCGGCCCCCCTACTCTGGAGAGAAGAACGGGGTTGATTATCATTTTGTCAGTGAAGAGGAGTTTCAGAACTTAGTTGTCATGGTGAGAATCCTGATTAAGACTTTTAGGGGGGTTTTTTTTTTTTTTTTTTTTAGCGGTAGTTTGCATTTGTAGTCTCACAAATAATCAGAATAAATGAATGCTTTCCCAGATTTTGTCAAAATACACACCCAGGATTCTTGATAAATTATGTTTTAAGTGAGCTCGATTCTCACGTCTCCCTCAGCGAGTTTCACATTGATTTCACAGGCTGGTTTTAATGTGTTGTGGAGATAATTAGTTTTTCTGGGGTGAATTGATTTTTCTATTAACTTGGTGGCTTTTTTTCCATCAGTACCTTTACCGTAATTATGTTTTTCAGAGATTTCATTCAGTTTTATTTAATTCAGTTCTTAGGACGAGGTATCAAATCTACTTGAATTATTTGAGACAAGAGGTAACTGTGTGCTGACTGCTGCTCAGAATTTCCCATAACTTAGGGATACACATAAGCATCCGAAATCAGAATTTACGACTGGTGGAGGAAGCCAAATGTGTCCTTGGGTCCTGAACACATTTGTTTTCCATCTTCACTCTCTTGTCAAGTCAGCTGTTATGTAAGGTTGGTAGGAGATAATTTATAGAGGACTGTGTCTGTGATTTACACAGGAATGGCTTTGAAGCAGATATTGATGCCTTTTGTCTTCTCCAGAACCAGATAACTTTGCAATCTATCCCTGCCCCCCGTTTGATCCTTCCCGTGTTTTTATCTCTCCACTTTTCCGTTGCCAGCTTTTCTCAATCTTCAAGATCTGCCTTTTAGTCCCAAGATGGGCTTTTCCACACACCGTCTTGAAACACTTCTTGGGTCTTGGAAGGACCGCAAGCAAGATAAAATAAAGAGATTTCTGACTACTCAACCAAACTGACAACTTATGGGTTTAAGAATATGCTAAATTGACCTGCATGCTCCCAGTTGTTTGATTCGTCAGGTTTACCTGTGAGACCTAACGAAGAGGATTTCACCCTGACTTACCAGGTCAAAAGTTAATTTCCCAGGTGGCCAAATAGCTTCAGGTTGTTAAGCTTGACAGAACATGCTGGGAATGTGTGTGTTTATGTTTGCTATTACTTTCCATGTAAAATAAAGCTTTTTTTCCCCTTCTTCTTTTCCTTTTTTTTTTAATGTAAGGGTAAATTTATCCTGACCATGCAGTACGGCAGCCATCTGTTTGGCCTCACCAGAGGCGCTATAGAGGAAGTAGCAAATCACGGAGTGGTTTGTTGTTTACATATGGAGCTGGAGGTACTTGTGTGAAAACTAATAATTTAGAGAAGATTTTGTTCTGTGCATTATGGGACTGCCTCAAGAATAAAAGTGTAACACCATTAATAATTTGTCAAATAAATACAATTGTGCTTTTTTTTTTTTTTTTTTCTGCAGGGTATTTTCAGTCTAAAGAAGAGCTGCTTTAAGCCTCGATACATCCTGCTCATACCCACGGCTATAGAGAAGTTCATAATCCACATGAAAAGCACTAACCGTTACACCAAGCCACAGATTGATCTCGCGGTGCAGCGTGTGCCCCTCTATTCAAAAACCAACGAAGAACGTAAAGGATTCTTCGACAACGTCATTTCAAGTGGTAACATGCAAAGGGAAATGTATTTGTTTCGTTTGCTTTTTTAAATTCCAAATAAGTACAATTAAACTTTTTATACATAACGTCCTTTAAGTGCGTTCTAAGCGTAACGGCAGGTGGAATAACTTGCTACGGTAAAAATCCACAGGATCACTGTGTTTATCTTGCCTCTTGATAGCACTCAGCCTGTTAGTTGTTTTCTTAATGAGATGAACAAACAGTGAGTGTAAGACATCCATCACTTTTACGCGGGTGCTAGCGAGACCCTCATTACACCAAGGTCAACATCTACATATCTTTGATTCATTGCTCTTTGATGTTGGACGCTCTGGCTCTGTTCAGGACCCGACTTCCTCGTGTGTTTATTTATGTCTGCGCTTATTTAGATAACTATGATGAAGCTTACCGGACCTTGCTGGAAGTAGTGAAGGTCTACATCTACGCTGAGGAGGAGGAGGAGCCGCAGGAGGAGGAGGCAAAGGAAAAGGAGGAGGAGAAGCCGCGAGAGGAGGAGGAGGAGAAACCCAGCGAAGAGGAGGTGGAAGAAGAGAAGAGCAGCATTGAATCCGACAGCAGTTTGAGAGGTGTTTCTCTTTTTAGTTTTCCAGGTCGTCAGTAGATTTAAAGATTTAAAATACTTGTTTTGTGAAAGGACGCACGAGTATCAATTGCTAGGCTTTAAGTTACCAGATATGTTAGTCAACCGTACCTTAAGGCCAACTATTCAGCTTTACATTGTATCCTCGAGTTTGTTCCCAAATGTTGCTATTTGCATAATGGCAACAAATGCAAATGGCACATCAGTGTATTTCTCTTGGTAGTTAGGTATTTTGGATGAATTTCTAAACTAGACGTTCATAAAATTTTTCAAATCTCATTCATAATTTAATTTAATTGAAAGTGAAGTGACAGCAACCTAAACTGTGGGTTCAACTAAGGACATCTACTCAGGATATTTTATTTGTTTGCAAACCATCACTTACTGTTAGCCATACATTTCCACTCACTAAGAAAGACATTAGGTTTATATTGGATAGTTGACTTATGTTTAAAGCAAAGTGGAAACTGTTGTGTTACCAGGTTCCCACGGAAACGTATTCATGCACAGCAACTTGAATGAAAAAAGCTGTCGCCAAACTCTTGCATTACAAGTTACAAATGCCAATTCTCTTCTTCATAAAGAAGCTAAAGTTTCAAGCACCTTAGACTGTGATTGCTATTTTTGGTTGTTTTGTCGCTTGAGTACTAACAACAAAAATGTGAATGCCACGCTCTCCGAACAATGTTTCAGACTTTGAGTCAGTCGAGGAACCAGCAACAACACCGGTAGAATCAGAGTCACTCCCTGGCACCACCGTCGAAGCCAGCTCGGCAAAAGCCCAGGCAGATTTGAGCTGTCAAAAAACATTGATTGTGAGTTTGTCTCTAAAAGCGCAGCATGGCAGCAAAGCCTTGCAAGTGGAATTAGAGCATACATCCGAAATCAGATGTATGAAGAAGTCATTGTCGGCTGGCTGCCGTCGAGGTGTTCGCGTTTCTTCTCTTTCTGCAGGAGCTCGCCTCCTTGAGGAAGCGGGAGGAGCTGGCGAGGGAAGCTGTCATTGGAAAGAAACCAGGGTTGCACAGCCACCTCTTCAAACAGCACACGTAAGTGGCAGCCACTCCACCTCACTCCAGGGCCTAATTTAAAGTAGGCATTCAATATTAGGCCAATTTAGTGTAATCGCAACACTTGTCCTACAATAACTGCATTTTAATGGCTCAGTATGAGTTTGACATTGAGGGTGAAGTACCAGGTGTCTAAATTATTTAAGCCCAACTGTTTGTTAATGTGATGGGAGCTTTTTACCAGTGTTCATTTTGGCAACCTGTCCATAAAAAAAAAACAGTCACCAGAGGTACTTGCAGTTCATCAGAGGAATATTTCAAAAACTGCTAAGCGTGCTCTGAAATCCGTCAGATATGTCTTTTGCTTTTTTTAGCCAAAATGTGGCGTCAGCGGAACGTGATCAAGATCCTGGTACCCACACTCAGGAGATTAGCGGGTCAGTCGACGCAAAACTGTAAAAAAAAAAAAAGATGTTCATAAATGATTCCAGATTCTCTTATCCAAGCCAGTGGAGGAAAGTTATTAACCTAAACCAGTGTTGTCCCAACATTTTGTCATGTTAGCAAAAGAGGATTTGTGTTGTACCTAACATTTCCAGTTGCAAGGTTTTAACCTGTCATTAGTAATTTTACACTAATTTAAAAAAAAAAAATTTCCATCTGGGCCGCACTTAATTAGGCACTGCTGGCTTAAGCCAACCAGTGTAAATCTCAGAGAAAAACAAATGGATTAATAGTTCAACACTGGAGATATCCTCTAAACTGTAAAACCAGTCCAGTTCATTTTACAGAGAGGTAATGTTTTCAGAGGAGACTTGTTGCTTCTCACCCTGAAGGATTATTAGCATCCTTGAAGTGTTTTTTTTTTTTTTTTCATTTTATAGGCCTCGTTTTCTTCCTATGAGCCACGTGGGGACAAATGTCTTCACGTTTTCTCTACATGCTCAGTTGGACACTTTTACACACCAGCACACCCACTCATAAATTCAGATTTTATTGCTTCTGCAGGTCATGACATTCCTGTGTGCACACTTACACTCAAGGTGGATTTCCTTTTTATAATATATAACTTTATGGTGTTACTTTAGAATGAAATATGAGGGCCTGTTTTTTTTTTCACTTTGCAACCACAAACTTCAATGTGTTTTATTAGAATTTCATGTGATTGGCCAATTAGATATCACACATTATTGTGAAGTGAAAAGAAAACATCCTTCCATGCGATTTCTATCGCTGCTGATACTTACTGGGTTGTAGGGAAGGCTGGTGCTTATACGAGTATAAGGCAGGATGCGTTCGGGTGCAGGTCGCTAGTTGGAAGGAAAACGTGGTACATGATTTTAAACGTTGTTTGCAACGTTGACTCTGCTACAGGGGTGGCAGCATTTACGCTCCTCGGCTCTGGAACAGACTGCGTGAAAGCTTGTGCAGAAGCCGCTGGTCATGTAAATGAGGACTGACATCATTACTGTTTACTCCAGCTTTTCAATAAAGGTCAAAAGACTGATTTATCGTGTCTGACATTTCTTTGCTTTTTACTTTTCTGAAATTTGTCATTTTAATATTTCTTTTTAATCTGATTATGCATCATGTTTGTGGAAAACACTTTGAATTTATATGCTACACATATAAATTTGCCTTGTACATACACATAGATTGTGTTTTACACTACAGCACTGTTTTCTTTGACCTTCTTCTCCTGGTAAACCACAGACAGACCTTCTTATGCACTTCTGTTAACAATAGCTTTCTTTTTGCAACTCTTCCACAAAGGTCAGACTTATTGGAAACTAATAGTTACTTTTATAATAGATTTCTTCATCAGACCTGTGTGCCTCTATTCAGAGTTAGCATTGACTCATGATTCACAGTCCGTTTGTCTGGTCGGTCAGTTAGGTGGACGGTCAAGTTTTTCACTTAATTTGACCTTTCACCTCTACTTCATCTTATTTTACATGCAGCTCAGAAGTGTCTCATGCCACCTCAGCTCTCGACGTTCCTGCGTCACTCGGTGGCTCTGTTGAACCTCTAGATGGAACCCTATTGGCACAGACGACAGAAATGCTCAAAGGTCAGTGTGTTTGTTTTAAGTTGGGACATCTGCATGTGTGTATGAACTAAAAATAAAAAATTCCGTAAATAGTTAGCTATGAGATGATATTGTGAGTATAATTCTAGTTTTTATGACAACACTGCCTACAGCCATATGAGAACAACAGCAATCCTGCTTTCTCTACATGTAGCCAATGAAACAAATTAGATTTTTCCAGGCAGCAGTGCAAACATTTGACATTCCACATGCAGAAATTGAGCAATCTGCTGTTCCTGGCTCCAACTTTTCAGATTGCGGTATGGGACTCGACTCACAGTCCATCCTGCGTCCAGAGTCGGATGGACATAAGAACCGTGAAGTCACCAAGTCCACGTCACCCGAGACACGTTGAATCTACCCATAACCGCCCGTCGAATAGAACGAAGGAGAAAATGTGGAGGGATGGTTTTCATAGAAGATTTAGTTGCTTTTTTTGTTGTTTTTTTTGTTTTTTTAAACAAAGCAGAAAATATTTGAAGGTAGTTTCTATTTCAAAAATGAAAATGTTATTAGTTAACATTATTTTGGGATTTATTCTGTTCTATTTTTTTGTACTTTCCCGTGTGTGTTTTGTTTAGAAATGCATTATAAACAGATATGTCTGCGATTCATTTAGACTGTGAGAGCAAGAAAATAGTACTATGATGCTACTCTTGTTTATCTTGTTGAGCTTTCACTGTCTGTCATTCTGGATTTTGAAATATTGATAAGCTTTTATAAATCCCAGAGTTAAGGTAGTTTTGTTTCTAGTACGGATTACAAACAAAACTGCCTCTTCTACTTGCTAATAAAAGAGGCTAAAGACAGTTTAAATTGTGAGCTTTGTGTGTTCTCTGAAAATATTAGTGGCACTCTCTTTTAAACCAATAGCACAGATGTGGCAATGTTTCAATTAAACAGCAATAAAAATTTTTGTAATTTTCTTATGTGCTCTTACATTATTACGTTTTAACAAAAAGCTAAAAAACAAACTAAATTCTCATTGGTACCTCCGGGTTTGTCCCGCCTTAAACAGTGGGCTTCTTTTCCAAAAAAAAAAAAAAAAAAAAAAAAAAAACCCAAAAAAAAAAATGTTTTTTTTTTTATCACCCGCCAAGG